TACCTAATACAAAACCACACCGGTTTATAATAAATAAACATAAATTAATATTTCATATTTTCTGTTATGAACTCCAATATAGGTTGGTTACCAATGATAGAGATTTCCATGAATTATTTTGGTAATATCCAAAATTCTCTGTTTTTTTTTTACTTTTTCTTGACGGTGTAATGTAATAGTCAGTCTATTTAAAATAAAAACAAGATATTTTTTAAAGAAAATTCATTTAATAATTCCATCTTTTAATGAAGTGTCGCCACTTTCTAATGAGCTGAACTGTGTTATGAAACACATTGTTATTAACACGAAAGAAAGAAGGATTTTTCTATTTTCATGAGAAATGATCTAGTTGTGAATTTGTTTCAGGATGGATGTTTATGAAGTATCCCGATCAACTACCGAATTGAACTACAATTTCTATAAGCAAGTTAAAGCAATTAAGACCTTTGACGAAGCCACGGGCACTTGCAATGCTAACGTTGATAGGTGCGTTATTATCATATGTGTCATAATTGTTCGTTATTGGGGTAATTATATTAGTAAAAACTTATTAACAATTAGCATTTGTGTTGTTTGCATCTTAAAGTTTATTCCTAGCAATTCGATTGCTGAATTATAATGATCTTAGTTATGTTGCTATAGTGAAAAAATATTTGAAACTAAAGGATAGTTTGGTTATTATGTTGGTAACCTGAATATGTTTGCTTTGCATATTGTATCTGTCCAAGTTGTGGCTATGTATGAAGCAACACTCTGAGACGGAGATTATAATGGAACATACTATATTATATGATGTTGCCAAACAACAAACGAACAAACTTCTCCAGAATACGACATAACTGTAGTTCCATACCAGTGATTTGATCAGTTTTGAAACAAACAAAACCATATTGTCGCTAACGTTACAGAGTTAAGTCAATTTCATGGAAAATATATCAAGCCACTCAAAACGCATTATGAGAACACTGTTCAAGTTTTAATAGGAAACCTTGGTTCACGAAACCTCAAATAGAAAAATCGTCGTAACTAGCTTTATTAGATTACAATGAATATGAAATTCATGAACGTTTTGTACAATACTACATGTTTACTCGTCGTTTTGTACAATACTCCACTTTACTCGTCGTTTTGTACAATACTCCATGTTCACTCGTGGTTTTGTACAATACTCCACTTTACTCGTCGTTTTGTACAATACTCCACTTTACTCGTTCTTTTGTACAATACTTCACTTTACTCGTCGTTTTGTACAATACTCCACTTTACTCGTCGTTTCGTACAATACTCCACTGTTTACTCGTCGTTTTGTACAATACTCCATGTTTACTCGTCGTTTTGTACAATACTCCATGTTTACTCGTCGTTTTGTACAATACTCCACTT